AAAAACTTTTTTATATGTTTTTGCGCATTAAAACGAAGGCGGGTTTCCACTATATTGACTTTGATACTAATGTTGGAATCTGGCTGGAATCCCAAATGCAGTGGAAACACCAAAAACACACGAATTGGATAGAAGTAACATTCCTTTTCCAGATCCAATTCTTCTTGTGCAATTGATGCATTCCTCTTGTGTTTCTATGCGCATCTCCTCTAGTTCGAGAGTTTGATGCCCGCATCCCTCGGCCGACTACCAATTACTAGAACCATCAGTGTCGTATACACAACGCATATCTCTTGAGCCTTTGATGGAAGGCCCGAGAACTCTTGGATCAACTATGGGTTTTCTTCTAGGGCTTTTAGAGAGAGAAAACTAGGAGAGAGATGGAAGCTCTTGGTTTTAGAGGGAGATACCCGTTTGGAGAGATGGGTACATCCCCATGTGAAATCTCTTCTTTTTTTCTCGTTGACAATTTTATATGGAAAAGTATCCCATGAGGGAATCTTATCCAAAAAGGGACTTATCTTACCTCTTTTGAATAATGCTTCCTCAAGTCAACCTTATTCCCATTTAGAAATCCCATATCACTTGGAATTCTCATATCCCTTCTTCTCTCCACCACCAACAAGTCCGGAATTCCATGGACATCCTCTTCTCTATTAGCCACTAAGAATGCTGAAAATATCATGGACATCCTTGCACCCACAAAGGGGTAGGATTTCAAATCCAACACCTACAATCCCTGGTGCCGATCATCTTTACCTGATCATCAGCTATGCTGTTGGCCTCTGTCTAGGGATGTTGAAGAAGTCACAAATAGGCCTGCAAATGTAAAAAATGTGGTCAAACAAATGCTCAAGTGCCAGGGGTGTTTTGCCGGACTTTGAGGCCCGCAAAATGATATTTTTGGAGTCTAAGTTAGTCACTAGAGAGTTGCCTCATGGCGGATTAAATTGTCTGAGTTCTTCGAGGATTGCAATGTTCTTTGCCACTGATGAGTCAACAACGCTGATAAATTCTGATTTCCTTGAAGCCTGCTGGACCAAGGTTGCTGACAGAGCATCCATCAATATTAACTTTGATGCATAGTTGTTGGAAACACCTGAGAATTGTGGAGTCGCATCTGGCTAGAATATTCTTGTTTTTGGAATCAACGTCCACATGAGGGGAATTGTGGGAAACGAGATTCCTACTTTATAGGAATTGAGATTCAACTTAAATAGAATCCAGATTCCGACCTCTTTAGAATTGAGTTTCTGACCTATTTAAAATTGACCCATTTGGAATCAAGATTCTTTTATATATGGAGTCGAGATTCCAACATCTTTAGAATTGAGTTTTTGACATATTTTAATCGATATTCATACCAGTTTGGAATCGAGATTCATATCAGTTTGGAATCAAGTTTCAACCCATTTGGCAATCAAGATTTGTAACTCTATGGGTCGAGTTTCAACCCTCTTAGAGTCAAGATTCCTTGATCAACGACATCTTGTGCCTTAACAAGATAGAACCTCGTCATGCGATTGAGATCAGAGTTCTCTAAGACCTGAAGAATAGATTTGAAGTCAATGTATTGACTATTGAGCCTCAGACACAATATCAGAAGTATGGTCAATTAATAGGCACACATAGTCAACTAGGGAAATGTTTGCAGTAAATACAAATGTTAATCTTGTGTATTTAAATGTGATTTTGATTTCATTATTATAGTTCATAATAGGATTTTGTCTGTTCCATGATGTTTTATGTGTTATAGTCCTATTTGAATGTAAAACTCTTTACCGATTGTATTTTTAAAAAAGGCAGCCAATTCTAACATTTTAGAAACATTATCTGAGAGTCCTAGCACTATTCGAAATGTGATCTGAATCGAACCAAAATCTCTATTATTCGGAGCACATATGAACAATGGGACACAATCGTCTCCACTCTCTTGCCAAATAACTCAAATCGAGATTCATAAACATTTGACCATCCATAAGTCACATATTTGTGCACCTAGAACATTAGTATTTGATTTTATGGTATTTCTTTTCCAAAAAAATCAGATCGAGATTCAAAGAGGGTTGAAGCGAGATTCAATGTTTGATTAATTCGTGGTTTCTTGCATCTATGAACTGCAGTTCTTGATGTTTAGGAATTTGGATTTGAAAATTACCAAATTGGATATCATTATATGTGGAATCCAGATTCAACCAGTGTACATTCAACAATTGTGGAATCGAGAATCTATAACTATTAGAACCGAGATTCTATAAGTGTTTGAATCGAGATTCCTGAATTCATGGAAATGGATTCCGATAAGATTCCTTGTTGGAATTGAGGAACCGAGATTCCGAATTGGAATCACGACCTTGGGTGAGAAATTCCAGTAACTATTGTTTGATGCACCCTTGGTCTTGGGCTCCAAAGCGAGGGGTCCTGGAATTGGATGTGATCTAGCTGATAGGGAATTGCACCCTAGATTGCTCTCTGGTTGCTCATGATGCCAGTTGTGCATATGCTTTGACTGCTTGGATATGCTTTGCCCAAAAAACGACGATTGAGCGGACATGCCTTTAGTGCTTGGATAGAGGCCTTCTTTCCTATGATGATAAGATTTTTCCTCTCATGCCAGATGATCCAAAGGGTGGAGGCTGTCAAAGCGTACCCCAATTTTATTCCCAAAGATTTGAGCAGGCCCAATCACAGGGGGCCTTCCACTGCACAGTGAAGAAAGAGATGATTCATTTGGTCTTCTCAAAGGTCTTATGCAAAGCGCATTTGTTGGGTAGCAGGATCCTTCTTCTTTGGAGCTGGTCCAGTGTGAGGACATTTTTGGAGAGGAGAATCCAGATGAAAGCCTGGATTCTGGCAGATCGGCTTTAATGAGGCTTTTTTTGTGATTGAATGATTGAGAATATGATGTGGTAGAGCTTGTTAAGAGGAAATAGAAAATCAGCCAGAGGTGGTTGGGGACCAACGAGCTTATCGACACCGGATTGTAAAATCTATGTAGAGTGCAGCAAATATATGATGGCCATGAAGCCAGAGTGCTCTTGGTTACGAAGAGCATTCTGAACTTGGGGTAAGAGCATTCTGAACTTGTGTTCCAGACTTTGTTTTCCTCTAAACCTCGATTGACTGGGTGACTGTATCCTCTGTCTGAGTGTCCAGGAGAAATAATTTGGGCCATGGCTCTTGTAACATAAACTTCCCAGTCCAAAGGTCTTCCCAATTTCACTTTATCTCCACTTCTGACCTGAAGTGGACCCTCTACTAAAATTGTTTGTAGCTTGTAACGAGTGATTGCCATGCACCCCAGGATCTGCCACTAGTTGGGTAGCAAAGCAACACCACCATTTTCTTCGAAGTGGAAGATTACAAAACCTGAGACTCTGAATTTCCAAGCCTCACTGTGATTTTGGTTGGTATAAGTCGTCCCGGGCGACACGGTGAAACTTGTGTGGACTGCCTGCTGTGGACCATACGAAGTTCCTCATCAGCTTATCTACGAAGGTATGTGAAATAAAGACATCTGGTATACTGGGACGTTCGATAGGGTCTCCTTGATGAGGATGATGCATCCTCCCAATAAAGAAATCTTCCTTTCCTTGCTGCTAGTCTCTGGTCAAGTTTTCTACAATGGCATTCGACAGTTGCTTCCACTGTTTGTTAATAAATAGGGGTAGGCCCAGGTATTTGGATGGCAAGTATCCAACCCCGCAAACCAGTCTTTTAGCCCATTCAAGTTGTTTGGTTTATCATTGCTACCCCATTATCTTGGATATGGCCATGTTGAAAAGTCATACCTGTGAAGATTTCGAACCACCTTATGGCCAATCATAAGTTTTAACTTGTTGGGGGGTTTGTGTGGAAGAAGAACAGAGTATGATCAGCGAGTAGGTGGGAAATCTCTGGTCTAGGTTACATGGCTTGAAACCATTAGACAGCACCTAATGAAGCACCATAACAAGAGATTGACTGAACACTTTGGCAACAAAGGTGAAGAGAAAGGGAGACAAATGATCTCCCTGCCTCAGCCCCCAGGAAGATGTGAAATGGCCTTTAATAATGCCATTAATAAGGAAAGAGATATGGGAGCATGAGGTGCAATCCTTGATCCACATCCTCCACTTCTTGCAGAAACCCTCTCTCTAGAGAACCTCATCTAATTGGGTCTGGTCGACCTGGTCATAGGTCTTTTCCCAGACTATTGATCTAAACTGACTACCCTGGGAGACTTAGCAAGGTTCCTCAAGTGAATTTATTCACGTGGATTTTTGGTGTTGTTCTTGTTCAGGTGTTTATGGTCGAATCTATTCTTATCTCTCTAATCTCATTTCTTCACGAAATGTCGCCGCTCCATAAAACCTATTTTGAAATATTAAACTCACGTGAATAGTAAGATATCTGGGCAAGGTGTGATAAGCCCTGAGGTGAGTCAGCATGCTGAAGTTTTAAGCTCTGGTTCTTTATGTGTTTGAGTTTTATGTCGAAAAGTGCAAAATTTTATTAAAGGTACCATTGTGTAGTTGTTGAAGTACTTTAGGAAGCAGGCTTGGGCTTGATTGGTTTCTTGTTGATTGCAACATTACTTCCCAAGTTCAATTCCTGTGGGTCTCCTTCTGAGTTGTTTATCCATTTGGACGGACCAATTTTTGGGAACTAGGCTGCTTCTCTCCTCTGCCAATTTAGGTTGAAAAAGGTCCCTGCATGGTCCGCTGCTTTATTCATGGGTGGCGAACTTTTGTGACCCTGCTTGTCATAAAAAAGCTGCCAAAACATCTGTGACCCCGAAAAGGTAAAGAGTTTTCTACCATTTATAAGTAACTCTCTTGTGAGATTTGTTTTGTTGTCAAAATGAGGCCTTGTTTTACATATTTGCCTGTCATTTTTAATTTCTCGACTTGATGCAGCTTTTTGCGGCTTGTGGCTTTTTTTAGTTTTTGAGTTTGAATTTTGCATATGTTTCGATGGTGGATACCTGATTAGTAATTTTTAATGATATCTTGCATCAGATATCTTGAGCTTGCGATTTTGCGTTGCTGGCATTTTCTTCAAGACAGTTCTTTGGATGCTCTAGAACGCTTGACTATGATGATCAGGGGTTTGGCAGATCCATTGGCATCTGCATATTGCCGTTTGTATATGACCCACTGTGCTCAGGAACTCCTTGCGTCTGACTCTGGTATCACACAATTTTCTTTCCATTTGATTACAAATAAACAATATCTAAAATGGGTTATGCATTGCCCAATATTGTTGTACTTTTGTTTGGATATTATAAAAAGGTTCATGATTTCTGTATATTTCATAGAGGACGTGGGCAGTCATGCATGTCATATCATTTTTATATTTCGAGACATGTAGTCTTTTTTTTTTTTTCATTTTTTTTTTACCAATCTTATATGCTACAGTGTTATGGAATCATGCTCATATTAAATTGTGAGGTAAAAAGGTCCTACAATATTCTGTGCGTATAACTTATTAAAGGCGCATTTGAATGTTGACAAAAACACAACATCTATGCCTCCATCATGTGCTGCCTTCTCCTTTCCTCTTTTGCTTCTCTCATTCTCTTGCTCTAACATTCTATCTAAGCCAAGATTGCTCATTACAAGGACATAACATAATATCAAGAGTGACATTGGGTATCAATGACCTCTAGTTCAAGATGAGAGACTTGTTTCACATGACATTTCTAAATCACAAGTTCACCTGATGGCTGTTTTCTTTCTTGAAAAAGGGAATGATAAATAACTTGTTATGATGGCACATCCTTTTGTTCATAAGGTGAATCCACTTTGGATTGTTTAGTTGATTTTGCTGCACGAGTCTCCGTTGGGCCAGTCTGGCTGAATGGCACCAGGGTCAAGAGTCCACAAATGATTATTTGAATTCCTCAAATGATTCCTTTTTTTGTTGTTTTGTTCTTTTTTTGTGTTTTTTGAGAGTTGATTCCTCAATGATTTTGTGGCAATGTTCACTGCCATACCCGTCCATCAGGTTATATACATGCATATGATACAGAGAGGAAACGTGGTTAGATATATAGATATGTATGCAAGATAGGGATATGTAACTGTTTGTAGACTTTTGCTTTGCTTTATTGTCTTTACTTTGATAGTTTGGATAATTGTATTTCTTATTACTTGTCATATGTTGTCTGAGTTTGTTTTCATCCACTTATTCAATGCATCTCTGGAGAAACTATTTCCTGCCATCTTGTCATTTGAGGTGAAACTTGCTTTGTTGACTGCCTATCTTTGACATGTTTATTTCTTGGATTGGCAGGATTTCTCATTACTTCTGTTAACGATATAACGACCACCTTGTCAAAGATTGTTTATGGAACTGTAACTACAAATGCAAAGTCCTTGGAGGATCGGAAGTTGCTTCTCTCATTGCTAGAACCATCTGTTGAGTGGATTACTAAATGCCTATTTAAGTACAGGTCACAGGTTGGTATGATTCTTCTTAATTGTTGTTTGGAGGTTTGACCCTCTTTAGCTACGTATGCATTAGTGTTTAATATTTATTGCAATGTTATGATAGTAGGAACATTTATATTATTATGTGAACTTTCTATTTGTCTACCATGCTGTTTGGCTACCATTCTGTTCATACAAAATTACTGATTGAAAGATGATAGTTATCAATATTCAGTAATTAAAAGTTGAAATTGCAAGAGGTTTATAGAAAACAAAAATAGGATGCACGAACTAGTAAATGCCACTGTAGAGTCTATTATAGTCTCAATGCATACAATCCAAAGAGGATAATTATGGCATGCACACTGAAGTTATCATTCCATTTGAAAAGGATTAATTGGGCTTTGTATTTGCTTGTCGTTAACAACTTTAATATCCATGGCTTCTAAATTTAATTTTCTAGACATGCTAACTCTTCCATGCCATACAGCATGTGCAATGGTTTGTATTGATGCATTTGTTTCAGACTTAACATACATCACTGGATCGTTCATCATGCATGAAATTGTGCAGAAGCTTATGTTTATTACCTAAAAGTGAGATATCATGTCCGACATATATATTCATGAAAGGTAAAAGTAACATATCTCTATTTCCCAAAATATTGTGTTACTGTGCCCAAACATGATGTTGATTTTCATGAATAACTCTTTCTCCTAATCCTTAATGGCATAAAAGAACAATCTTTTCTTCCTCTTTTGCTGAGGATGAGTTTATACTGTCTTTATGTGATGCATTCTTTTCAGTAACATTTGCTCCTAATGTAATATTTATGAGAATTGAGGGAATTAATTTCTACATATATTTTGGTACTGCCAATACCATACTGGCCCGGCCAGTCTGATCAGGTTTGACTGGAATCCACCCATAAGCTGGACCAGCCCCATTCTCAAGCAAGGAAGCCCTCAAATCTGCCTGGAGTTGGCCTTTTAATGGTCTGGCCAAGTCCATTGGTCAGACATCATCCTGACCAGACTGGAAAAAATTGTTCGCTTAAACAATTTATTTGGTCTGGATATTAAAATTTGAGATCAAGTAGGGTTCTGTACTGATTGAATTAAGTACGGTTATGTACTGATCGAATTATTAAATATGGATATGATACTTTGATATTATGCACTTGACTGTTGTATGATTAGAGATGTATCAGGCAAATTCATTGAAACTCAAAGAAAGGAAACAATATTTTGATCATTGCTTCTGGTAAATGTGAATAATTCCAAGTTACAAAATTATTCTGCAAAACCATATAATAGTCAAATACACTCTTTCTGCCATAATTATAATCTTGGGACAACAAATTTTTTTTTTTGGGTAATTCAGGACAACCTTTGTTGTATCATATGGTTATTATTATTATTTTTATTGCCTTTATGGCTATGTGACCAGTAGGTTTGACTTTCCTTGTTCGTTCTAGTTTTCCTCATCTTGTGAAGCAATAGACTGCTCTATCTATTTCTGAATTTGCATTTGGTATGTAGTACTATTAAGGTCAAATGAGTTTTTTTATTTATTTTTGGGTAAGTCAGTGGGAGAGAAGGTCCCTACCCGTTTTTTCATTAATAAAAAAGCAGAGAAAAACAATTAAGATACAACCCTATGGTAGGGCACTTGCGGAAGATAGGCTGTGATGAACGTTGATGCCTGATAAAATCCCATGCCCTTTTAATAGAGAGTGATCCATCAGCAGAATGAATCCAGACTAGTGAATCCTTCTTGGGCTGTAGAGGGAGATTATAATTGTCAACCTCTCTCCATATATTCCTCAAAGAATCATATGCAGGATGCGGCAGAACCCAAGCTCTAGGAACTCCTCTGATAAAGTCTGAGACCCTCTTCCCTACAGTAGCCCTCAAATATTCCTGAGTGTTATCATCATGGGGATCTGAAAGTGGATGACTTGATAACCATGGGTCCATCCAGAAATCCACCATCTGACCATTACCAATATTCCACTGTACATTGCCTTTTAAATGAAATAAGCCAGGTAAAATCCCCTTCCATGCATTGGAACATCCTCTTCTGCCTTCAGCCTCCCAAATAGAGGAATTTCTAAAATATTGATGTTTGAAGAATCGTGCCAACAACGAGGATGGATTTTCCAAAATCCTCAGTGCTAACTTCATCATTCCTGCGATATTGAAATCCGCCATATCTCTTACCCCAAGACCTCCTTCAGCCATAGGGAGGCACACCGTTTTCCATTTTATAAGATGAACACCTTTTTTTCCTGATTCCCGGCCCATAAGAAGTTTCTCTGTAGTCTCTCTATCATATTACATGTTTTCTTCAGAAGAATGAAGGATAATAACCAGAAAACCGATGACACACCCAGTACAGACTTAAGCAACTGAAGTTGACTGGCATATGAGAGGCACAAAGGCTGCTAAGGCCCTATCTTACCGAACACCTTACCCACCAGACTATGACAATAATTGTGCCTCAGATGTCCACGAAATAATGGTAGGCCCAAATAACGGACAGGAAGAGACCCTTCAACAAATTTTAACTCCCTCAGAATTCTCCCCCGTCCTCCCCGTGGTGCACCAAAGAAAAAGACCTTGCTTTTAGATGAGTTTATAATCTGACTAGTACTCCTCTCAAACTTATGAATAAGTTCTCGCATAGCTGTGGCAGTAGAGATGGATGCCTCACAGAAAATAAGCACATCATCAACATAAAAGAGATGAGAGACCCCATAGTCACACCCTGATGGAAACACCCTAGGAACCACGCCTTGCAACATAGTACAATCAAGCTGTCTGCTAAAAAGATCCATGACCAGCAAAAAAAGATAAGGAGATAAAGGATCCCCTTGCCTCAAACCTCTTTTACCTTTAAACAAACCCTTGGGTGAGCCATTCCTCAAGATTGAGAAAGAAGTAGTGGAAATACACAAGTGAACCCAAGAAACAAATAACTCAGGAAAAGCCAAAGCATGCATCCTTCCCACTATTAAATCCCAGGATACTCTGTCATATGCACTGCTCAAATCAATTTGCAAACACATTTTAGGCCAATCTGAGTTCTTATGGCAAAGAGACATAAGTTCGTTTGCCATGATAATATTATCAGTGATAAGCCTACCTTTAAAAAATCAGCCTGCCTAGGGTCAATAAAATCAGCAAGAACTACTCGTAGGCGATTAGAAATTATTTTGCAGCAATAAAATGCACTAGTTTTGTACTGAACATTTTGTATGTCTAACTCAAGGTCAAATGAGTTAGACATACAAAATGTTCAGTACAAAACTAGTGCATTTTATTTCGTCCAAACGGCTTGTGTGAAATAAATATATTTTGGTCTAACTTTGAGTCATTGAAAGTCCTTTGGCTATTTCAAGCTTTGCATTTGGTATTTGAAGCATTTTAGGTTAAATGTGTTTGGCTTTCCAAAATCTGTTTCATAATACTCGTATGTCCATGATCAAAACGCCCAGAAGATAAACATCCTTGTTAGCCTGTGCTGTATAAACATAAGGGGTCTAATTGCATTCATCTGAATGTGTCTTATCCAAATTAAAGTTCTGTTGATGTTAGTAAAGTTCAATTAAGCCTAAGTAGCGGTGCTTTACTGGTCTCCATTTTTGTCTATCATAATCCTCGAGACAACTTTTGTGGTGCTTGATTGGCTCTATGGTGTTATGTTTGCATTGTGGTTATGTTGCTTGGATATTTATTTAACCCTGGGATTATTGTTTTGACCTAATTGCCATATTTTACCCATTCAATTGATAAGTTTCCTGGTGCTATACTCGTTTTAAGTATTTTTGTTTCTCTGCTCTGTATTGTATAAGAGTGAGCTCTTTGTTCTAACTGGCTGATATTTGCACCATTTTGATACCTATATATAGTTGAAATGTGGTGATATCCTGGTGGATATTGCTTCTGTGAGGAATAACACTAAGCTGGCTGTGAAGTGCTTTGAGGTTTCGGTCATCCTTCATAATCTCCTAAGGGAACTTTCTACTGAAATTGTTGGTGCCAATGCTCTAGGGATCATAGACATGATTGAGAAAGCCAAGGATATTTCCCTGGATCAGGTAGGATAAGAATGGGCCGATGGCTACTTTTTTCCTTCGTTTTAAGTACATGCAATCCATACTTAAACGAGTCGTGGTTGTTTAGGTTTCTTGAATCTTTCTCAAATCTATTGGTTTTGGAGGAATACACATTAATTTATCATAGGGCAGTATTTGAATTACAGGTTGCTTGGATATAAGCTCTGTGAAAGCAGCCCACCTTTGGATACGCGTGATGCCATATTGAACAAGGTTTTTCATGTATGTTACTTGATCTTTACGTAATTGTCCATATGCCTATCCCTTTTGAATGTAATTTTTTTTTTTATTTTTTCCTTGCTCAGTTGCTGTGTGGTATCTATCTGGATTCATTATTTATGTAAAAACTTCTATTTGGAAATGAGGAAAGGTTCTCTTAGATGCTTTGGGAATATGAAGGTGATGCTGGAGAAATTTGAAGAACAACAAAAGGAACACGATTTGAAGAACAACAAACGGAACACGATTTTTTAGCCAAACACATGGAAAATTTGGAAAAACCCTACGTTTTCCTATCCACTCAAGCTAGGGCTCAAAAGCTTGGAGCTCTTTACGTAATTCTTTTTTGAAAACGAAATCACGTGGATTGATCTCTCTATTCCGCACACATCTCTTAAACAATAATATTTAATGTTCAAGGACATTAAACGTACATGTAATAATTAAAATGACCCAAAAGTTCTAACTTAAACTCAAAATTTGCAATGATAATTTTACTCCTGTGAATGGTACCTGTGAATAGTAAATAAAAATATAAAAAAACCCTAGAATCCCTAGAAAAACTAAGAAACCCTAAATAATACACCTTGAAACTAAAATAAAAATATACATTCTTTGAAATTAAATAAATATAAGAATAAAAATAATTTTTCCCTCCATCATCTCCCATGGTTGGAGAAAATTTGTCCTCGAGTTCTGAATTGTGCTAAGATAAAATTTACGTTGGTTTGACAACCTTCCTCAACTCGAATATTGTAAACACAACTTGGGACTTGTGGGTTATTGCATAATGAAAACATAATGATTGTACATTGAATTTAGGTCTTTGTAGTCAGTTAATATATCCATAAACACCTTTGACAAATCCTCGAGAAAAGGGTCATTGTATATCAATAGAGTCTGTTCAACCACATGAACTTTGTTGAGATTGCATCTATTCGACTATAGAATCGCAGCCCTAGAGCATAGCATGGGTGCATCATCGAGATGAACACTGGATTCGATGATTGAACCATCAACTTCACCTATTGATTCTCCTTGGAGTCCTCCATCGTTTCTTCGTCCAAGATCGGTTTAACCACAAAATCTTAATCATCATCGTAGATTGGATCTCCTACAAGATCTTGTTCTTTATCCAAGTATATATAAAAAATTGGTGGCAAATTCCAATCTACTGAAAGATGTGGCTATGAAACAATATAAAAAAAAGGAAGAAAGGTGTGGCTATATGGAACTCAAGGTATTAAGTTCAAAATTTTCTTTTATTTTTATGCCGAATATCTGAAATCCACTTACATAGGTCGCAATATGTTTCTACGAAATTAAAATAATTCCCTAGATACAACCTATGATCTTTATTTTCGTTGCCAAGAGAAATAGAAACTATCTAAGAGCTTTAAACTAACTTCCACCATAATTTTTAGCATAAAATAAGTTCCTGAAAATTCACAAAAAATAGGAATAATACTGAAAATTAATTATAACTACTGAGAGATGTCTGGAGTTACGCTACCATGACTTAGTACACCCCACACCCGATTCCTTCACTAATGACGCACTTTTACTCCTTAACGTGCTACTGGAAATTCTGAGGTAGGGAAGCTTTGTAGGCAATGCTTTTTTTCTAGGGTATTTAGAGAACTCAAAATCAACTAGGGTGTATATAAACATTACGGGAATAAATTAGGGTCGAATCTGTGAGTTGATCTCTCTCGAAGCTGAGCTTTTGTCTTTTTTCTTCAAAATACAACAAACCTTAGTTCTAAGGTTTTACACAGTAGAACCTCCTCTCTTTTATTCAATGGAAGCTACTCAAATAAAAAAGCAAGGGAGAGAAGGAGAAAGAGTAGAGTGACCCTCTCTAAGGCAAAAGAGAGGTCATGTGGTTTTAATTTGAGGAAGAGAAAGAGTGAGAGAAATATGGCATGGGAGAGAGAGGACTTGGGGCATGAGAGAGAGGGATCTAGTTATGGTAGAAAGAAATATCTTGTTATGAGAGAGACGGGGTTCAAATAGGTTTAAATAGAAACAAGATCTATCTCTTATTTTGAATAGGATTCGAATCTAAGTATTTCTTATCCAATTTCCAACTTGACCTTTAGGATAATTAGGATATCTGTGGGGTGAGAGATTTAATCAGAGCCATCCATCGCAAAAATTAGTCGTCATGAGTTTGGGTAGAAAGATAGGAACCTTAGCCCCTTAGATTTTGACCTAAATCCAACTCTAATTTAAACATATTTAGATCTCCCATAGTCAAGAAAGATTTGAATTTTAAAACTCCCATACGATAAGGAAACCAAATCTAATTTAAAGTCAATAATATATCCCTTAATATTTGAACCAAATATTAAGAAAGTGGGGTATGCCCCCCCATTGTCCTAATTAAGTGGCATGGCAAAATAAATAAAAATTATTAAGAAAATGGGGTGTGCCCCTTTTCTCCCTAGAAAAGTGGCGTGGCCCTTCTTCAAGATATGAAAGTGGCGTGCCACCCTAGGAGCTCAAGTATGCCCCACATGGGTGGCACACACTTGATGAAAATTAAGCAGAAAAATATTTTAAAATCATGAAAAATATTTAAAATTCATAGAAACATTTCTAATATCAAAATAAAATATACTAGGAGTAGACTGGTACCAATGAGTCAAAATAAGTGACACTAAGGGCACTCCACTTGCCTCAGAAACCATGGTCCAATACTGTTTTCTTGTCCAACCCAACAAAGACCCATGACCCACAGTCTTAAAGCAAGGGCTCATGATTAGCTTGTCAAAGTTAGATAATAAATAGTGGGACTATGATCTTGGAATGTGGATTTCAGTTCTCCCTTTTAAGAGCAAGTCTAGCACTTGTCACCACAGTGCAAAGTGGGTTCTCTCTATGTACATGTACACGTGTTCCTTTATAGGGGCTGCTTCGCAGTAATACGGCTGTCATGCATACTTCCTGTACAGAAGTTTGTTGAGGCTTTGACCCTTGCTCTCACAGGCCTACAACTGTACACAGGAGAACACACAGTTCTCCTGGCCTAAACAACATCCTTGGGCATCTCTCCGACCTCAACAAGGGATGACCTACTGTACACCCTTCTCAGTTGCGCCCACTGTTTCAAAAAGCGGACCGCCCAGCGCCTGGGCAGCCACCTACGTGGATATCCCCGGGCGCTCGCCTGAACTCGTCTAGGCGGCCGCCTAGGGCCTGCACCCCACCCAGGGGCGGAAATACGGCTCCTTGAGAGTGTTTTTGGGTCATTTTTTTTAATACTATAAGGGGAAAATATTGGGTTTTAGGTTCATTTGAAGCCTAAAACCCATTAGAGGCTATTTTAGAGGAGAAAACCCAAAAAAAAAATTCTATTGGGCTGCCTAGGTTCTGGGCGCCCGTCTAGGCGCTGGGCGGCCTGAACTCCCCCAACCGTCTAGGTGCAGCTTAGCGCTTTTTGAAACATTGGTTGCGCCACATGCTTAGGGGTAAGGGTTTTGGACATGACTAGCGCCATGGATCGCCTAACCTTTAGTCAGTCAATACACACACTCCCACTGAAGTGTATATTTTATTATAAAATCTCATATTTACAATCTCTTTAAGCCTTTTAAAGCCACAAAACCCAACATCTATAACTTGCTGATTTTTTATACAACTTATGTTAAAATCAAGAATGGCTTCCTTAAACTAAAGAACCCTAGAGTGATGTTTGCCACATTTAGGTCTTCTATCCCTTTCCTCTTCACTCAACTCTTCATGTGCAGCATGAAAGTGAGAAGGGTTGTACTCAACATCTTCGCCAGAAAGATCACCGTCTTGCCCATGAATGATGCATGCAAACTAATGCGTTAGCTGCTAAATTTGCCTTTTAAGTCCCTCAATTTCATCATCTTTTAAATCACGAAGTGAATCTACAAAAGTTTGCTTTCCAAGTCCCTTCTTGTAGCGCCATAAATTAGCCAAAATCACAAACCTTAGGCAAATAATTAACAAAAACTTCGTTGAAATCAGCAAGATCTATGTTGAATTTGGCAAAACTTAGCCCAAATCAGCAAACCTTAGAGTTGGGTATAGCTGCCTGACCTTGTTGTTGAAGAATCCTTGAGCTATGTTATTAAATTGTTGCAGGAGAAATTTGAAGGACAACAAAAGATCATACTTTTTTGGAGAAACCCTATGGTTTCCTCTCCACCCAAGCTATGGTTCAAAAGCTTGGAGCTTTCACTTTATTTTTTCTAAAAGCAAAGTCATGTTTGGAATGAGCCTTCTAGACCCCATGCACCACTTAAATAATAATATTTAATGTTTAAGGACCTTAAGTGTCCATACACTAATTAAAATTACCCAAAAAGTCCTAACTTAAAACATAGAATTTGTAATGACAATTTTACCCTTGTGAACAGTAAGCCCATGAACAATACTTTGGAATAATACCAGTGAATAGTGAATTGAAAGTTATAAAAAAAAAAATCCTAAAGCTGACATAAAATTAAAATTAAGAATAATTTTGCGCTGCATGATATGGAAAGTACAAAGTATAAGGAAACAAGCATTAAGGAGTTCTAAAAAATATCGAAGAATAAGTTTACTCCCAATGTTCAGTAAGAAGTTTTAAACTCATTTCTTTCTTTGCTTATCAGGCTTTTGTTGGGTTACAATGCCATATTATCAACTAAAGGAAGAATAATGCAAAGGTTATCCCCAAATAGTAGGACTGCAAGAGTGATATCCCTATGTTTTTAACTCCTCAAAAGAGTAAAACATGCCCCCCTGTGTGATTTGTTGATCTGTTTGTTGTCCTCGAAAACTATTGAAGCTAACCATGGAGGAAAGTTGTGCCTGGGGTCTTATCATTCCCATGATACTATAGTACATGCATCAGTACATAGCCACTTCTTGAGAGAAGTGGCTATGTGGAATTCAATGAAATCAAATAAAAAATGTTCTCTTTTATTTTATTAATAAATCTGAATTTCACTTGTACGTGCCACAACACATTAGTGTAAACAAGAAATAAAACCCTAAATGCAACCTAAGACATAAACTTCTATTGACAATTTGAATAGATGCAAGCCAAGGATAAAAAAACAAATTTCCATTAACCATTTTAATACGAAGAATGTTCCTGGAAATTCAAATGAATAAGCAAATAATGATTAAGCAAAAAGCAAACAATTGAGAAGACTTACTTGAATTTATCTAGGGTCATCCCTATAGGACTTAGTATACCCCTCCCCTATTTCTTGACCAATGACACGCTTTGGTTCTATTGGGCTTGCAGAATTTTTTTCATCCGGGACGCTTCCTTAGGCACTAGCTTACAAAGCTAGGGTTTTAGAGACTATAACACAATTAGGGTTTCTAGACCCCTTTAAAAACCCATTCGGTGTGCCACTATGTGGTACCTCCCCTTAAAACTAACTAGGGTTGGGCATGCCACCTCCACCTTATGGGGTGGCGTGCCATACATAGAGAGGAGAGATCAAGAGAGATGAGATGAGAGAGAGGGATGTGGAGGGGGAAGAGAGTCGAGAGAGATAGAGGCTATGGAATTGTGTAGAAAACCAAACTAGGATAAGACCAATCTATAAGAACCTTTTAGAACTTCCTTTGTCTCCCTTTAAGTTATACGAAGTATACACTATCATTTTAGAACTCCCACAAAATAAGGATACACTATCATTTTAAAAATATTTCTTTGACTTAAGATTTTTAATAAAAAATAATAACTAAAACAAGAGGAAGGGGGGTGGGCCATCCCCTATGGGTGATATTTGGGCCCCATGTGCTTCACACCCCAACCATGTGGTGTGGCACACATGTGGGACTGGATCCAAGGGCCCTATGTAAGCGCGTCCACACCATCACAATTTGTAAAATCCCCTTTTAAGGGTTTGAATTGTTGAAATTAATTATAAAAATTCTGAAAAAAAATCTAAAAGTCCATAGAAACATTTCTTACACTAAAAAAAAATTTTACACTAAAAATAAAATTTTTAGAAATGGATTGGTACCAATGGGTCAAGATAAGTGACTCTCAGGCACTCCACCTGACCTAATCACCATGAGTTTTTGACTATCTTCTCAACCGACTCAATGAGACCTATAACCCACTATGTCATGCAAGGAATTATTATTGGTACATCAAAGCCAGCCAATAAATAGTGGAACTATGGTCCCAAAATGTAGATTACAGGTTCCCCTCAAAGTGAGAGTCAGATGCATATAACACTATAGTGCTAGAGGGACTCTTCTATACACATGTACATGTATCCATTTTCAGGATTGCTTCCCGATAAAGCGGTTATCATGTGCACATGCTATGTAGAAGTTTGTTGAGGATTAAGCCCTCACTCTTACAGGTTACAAACTGGAGACCACACAGCTATCCTGACCTATAAACCATCTATGGGACCGTGACCCTTTGTAAACTTTTTTCAGTAGTGCCACATACCTAGGGGTAAGGGTTTGGACAATGACCAGTGCCATAGACTGCTTAACCCTATATCAATCAATCAACACACATATTCCCACTAAAGTGTATAACTCACTATAAGTTATATTACATGCTCTCACAGTCTTTAAAGGCCACAAATTCAAACATTTATTTGGGTTAGAAAAGACCATAACTTCAATTAATATTTTAAGGATGGATTTGGGTTTTTTAACCATGTAAAAATTTGTGTAGCTATTAAACCAAAATGAATAAATTGACACTTAATTTTTTTGTAAATTTTTTGCTATCATACCAAATGTCTTCTACTTTATCATGATTGCATTCATGAGCACAAAACCTACAACAGAGCATGCGCACGACCTGCTTGTAGAAAGACCATATATGGAGAGCTTGTGGCTCTGCTTTAGAGCTGGGACTTGCTTTATTTTTTCAGTAGGGTGCAGCTTTTGGTTTTTAATGGGCTTATGTGGTGAAACTTAAGTGGAAAGGGTCCTTGGGTAGGATTGTGCCATAGGGATATTCTGAGGAGAGAATGATTACAGTGAGATCATCATTTCTACAGCTAAGATCGCACAGTTCGCTTGGTGATTATGATGTTAACAATTAGTTAGTGGCCTCCTCTTAAATGGATATGAAGAATTCCTTTCTTCATGGTGAATTGGTTTGATTAGATAAATATTAGTCCTCTTCGATAGATGATTAGATGGAGTCCCTCATATGTTGTTGTCTCCGTAGCACGCTATGGTCTTATGTGAGCACTTGATACATGGTTTCAGTGATGCTCAGCCACTCTAAACTCGTGGCTTTCGACAAAGTGTTTTTGGTTAATATTGTCATTCATACAGAAGATATTGATTTTATTATTCTGCTAGCATTATGTGGATACATTTTTATTTAGTGGGATGATTTAAACAGCAAAACTCATCTTAATCACCAACTGAAATCCATGTCTCGTATGAAATATTTTGTCTCATGCAGTATTTATTGAGATTATATCATATTTGTAGATCACTTCTTTAGGCAGTGCAAGTACACTGCATATATTATTTTAGAGCATGTCTTTTGGATCTTGCAAAAGGTTCTCCAACTGCACCCCATTGTCTGGTAGTTGGGGAGATCCATGAACGATGCAATGTGTTATTGGTTGGTAAATGGCAGTTTGTTTATCTATTTGCTAAATGCCTCGACATGGTTAACGATATTCTGTAGGTCAGTCTATGCATGAGAGTCTTGGGGTACCACAGGCGTGGGTTATTTATTGAAGAATCTGTATACTAAACCTTGTTTCTTGAGGAAGGCTGCAATTCGCTATTGCAGTTGCTACGAAAACCTGTGTTTCCTTAATTCTTGATCAAAAGTACTCTAGAAGATCACCTACTCAAGAATGAGTGGTCTGTCTGAACTTGTTCTTTGTGCTGAATTGGAGCCAAATGAGGTGTCAGGGTAATAGTTGGCTGCATACACACTACTTTATGAGTTCAGTAATGGGTTGGCACCTTCCTCACCATTTTATGGTGACAGTGTTTGCTCATATGGGCTTGTAGGTAACAATGTTCGTCATACTTGGAGAAAACGAATGAGACAGGATTTCTCAATTCTAATCAAATACGGTTATAATTCTGGGCTTCCTCCTAGTTTACTCAGACTAGCTTATGTATGGATTCTCGGGAAGATAGGATCTGGGTGGCCCCCCAGGTTGCCACCTTTTTTCGTTGGTAATCTTATTTGTTGCGTTATCTATTCCACACTCAAGCACTGAAGTTTGTAACTTCTTTTGTATTGTGACCATCAAATTGAGTGGGAGTGTCCATTATCTATGTAATTTATTTTATTGCGACCTTATACTTTTTTCCATTATGCATCATGCGAGAAGATGTTTGCAATTATATGTAATCCGCATTTTTGGTTATGAAATTTTCTCAGGGCATTCTTGTTATTTTGGCAAACAAACTTTTAATTTTCCGTAAGGGATGTAGTAGTCATCAATACGAACAATTCCTTTTCCTGCTGGTTTTATTTGACATGAAAAATATTATATATTGATGTTTTGGTTAATGTTATAGTTGCACCACTGGGGCGTATGTAATCGCCATAAGCATTTGCATTTGTCTATTCTATAGTTTGGTAGAAATCCAGAATATTGAGTCTTTTCTTGCTTCTTATTCCTTGCTTCTCTCTTTGGTTTATTTCCAAGGCTTGTTACTATTGTTGTCAAATGCTAAACTTTTGCAAATTTTCGAAGTTGGAAGTTACCATACTTTTTTCATTATGTTTTTATAGGTTATTGATCAATTTAGTTGCCAAATGGAGTATTTGATGGTGCTGGATGTTTACTTGGATTTTATCCTTCAGCATAATATGGTAAGCCCACAATACTATCTATTTGTTCTATTTTTTTTCTCATTGACAAATATTGTTTATGTGATGTATTATAAATTATGGAAAAGCAATTCTCATATGCAAATAGTGGAAAAGAATGCAAATCAATTACTTCCCTATTATTGTTTGTTCAATGCAGATTGAGAAACATATAAACAAACAATAACGAAACTATACAAATTTTACTAGTTTGAAAATTCTGGTATAAATTTTATCAGGTTTTACTTTAGTTGATTTTTGTATGGCCAATTGTAAATTTTCTAAATTTCTCCTTTTACTAGTTCCTACTCCTTTACTAGTTCTAGGGGCTGTTTGGGTACCTGAAAATCTATTACAGGGAAACATATTACAAGGAAATATAAGATTTACCATGTTTGGGTACACTTCAACACCATGTTTGGATACACTTCAACCGTAAGAAAATGGAAATAAATTACACAAGATTTTCGCAAAATATGTGAAATCTATTACGTGCAGAATGGTTGTGAAATCCATTACGCTCTTAACGGGTAGTCTAACTACGCGCGTCTCTTACCCAAAAAAAATCCTCTATCTCCCGCCATTCTCCCTCTCTCTTGTGCCCATCCATTCCCCCACCATTCTCCCTCTCTTCTATGCCCATCCATTCCCCCACCATTCTCCCTCTCTCCTATGCCCATCCATTCCCCCACCATTCTCCCTCTCTCCTATGCCCATCCATTCCCCTGCCATTCTCCCTCTCTCCTACACATATCCATTTCTACTTTCTCTCTCTAAACTCCATTTATAAGTGTTTGTGCACATCCATTTCTTCCATTTCTGCACTATCTTGCGCATATCCATTTCTACATCCCTCTATCCTCAATTTGGGTTGCAGCCCTCATCTGAAACCATTCGCTCTCATAGAAAAACAAAAATAATAAAAATAATAATTGGTAATCAATGAAAAATTACACAACGCAATCATAATAAAAAATTTCACACAACATGATCCTCATAAGATATTAGTAAAAGCTCAATTGAAATAAGATACCTCTTTAGTCTCCTCCAATACCTCAAAATTTTCTACTGCAATTACCAAACCTTCTACTTTACTAATCAAACTTGTTCCCATTTTTTAACTTGTACCAT